CTATGCCACGGCAATCAAATAATGGAACATTATAGCATCATGTCAAATAAGACATGGTGTGCATAACAACCACATACTATGCCATGGTGATCACATAAGGGAATATTTTTGCACCATGTCAAATAAGACATGGTGTGCATAACAACCACATACTATGATATGGCAATCACATAATAAAACATTATTGCACCATGCCAAATAAGACATGGTGTGCATAACAACCACATACTATGCCATGGTGATCACATAATGGAATATTTTTGCACCATGTCAAATAAGACATGGTGTGCATAACAACCACATACTATGAAATGGCAATCACATAATGGAACATTATTGCACAATGCTAAATAAAACATGGTGTACATAAAAACCACATACTATGCCATGGTTATCACATAATGGAACATTATTGCACCATGCCAAATAAGACATGGTGTGCATAACAACCACATACTATGGTATGGAAATGACATATTAGAACATTATTGCACCATGCCAAATAAGACATGGTGAGCATAACAACCACACACTATGCCATGGCAATCACATAATGGAACATTATTGCACCATGCCAAATAAGACATGGTGTGCATAACAACCACATACTATGATATGGAAATGACATAATGGAACATTATTGCACCATGCCAAATAAGACATGGTGTACATAACAGCCACATACTATGCCATGGTGATCACATAATGGAACATTATTGCACCATGCCAAATAAGACATGGTGTGCATAACAACCACATACTATGATATGGAAATGACATAATGGAACATTATTGCACCATGCCAAAGAAGACATGTTGTGCATAACAACCACATACTATGTCATGGCAATCACATAATGGAACATTATTGCACCATGCAAAATAAGACATGATGTGCATAACAACCACATACTATGCCACGGCAATCAAATAATGGAACATTATAGCATCATGTCAAATAAGACATGGTGTGCATAACAACCACATACTATGATATGGCAATCACATAAGAAAACATTATTGCACCATGCCAAATAAGACATGGTGGGCATAACAACCACATACTATGCCATGGTGATCACATAATGGAACATTATTGCACCATGCCACATAAGACATGGTGTGCATAACAACCACATACTATGATATGGAAATGACATAATAGAACATTATTGCACAATGCCAAATAAGACATGGTGTGCATAACAACCACATACTATGCCATGGTGATCACATAATGGAACATTATTGCACCATGCCAAATAAGACATGGTGTGCATAACAACCACATACTATGATATGGAAATGACATAATAGAACATTATTGCACAATGCCAAATAAGACATGGTGTGCATAACAACCACATACTATGCCATGGTGATCACATAATGGAATATTTTTGCACCATGTCAAATAAGACATGGTGTGCATAACAACCACATATTATGATATGGCAATCACATAATAAAACATTATTGCACAATGCTAAATAAGACATGGTGTACATAACAACCACATACTATGCCATGATGATCACATAATGGAACATTATTGCACCATGCCAAATAAGACATGGTGTACATAACAACCACATACTATGATATAGAATTGACATAATGGAACATTATTGCACCATGCCAAAGAAGACATGTTGTGCATAACAATCACATACTATGCCATGGCAATCACACAATGGAACATTATTGCACCATGCCAAATAAGACATGATGTGCATAACAACCACATACTATGCCACGGCAATCAAATAATGGAACATTATAGCATCATGTCAAATAAGACATGGTGTGCATAACAACCACATACTATGATATGGCAATCACATAATAAAACATTATTGCACCATGCCAAATAAGACATGGTGTGCATAACAACCACATACTATGCCATGGTGATCACATAATGGAATATTTTTGCACCATGTCAAATAAGACATGATGTGCATAACAACCACATACCATGAAATGGCAATCACATAATGGAACATTATTGCACCATGTCAAATAAGACATGGTGTGCATAACAACCACATATTATTATTGAATCTTAACATATCAACATATAACGTCATCAAAAAAAGTTGGGTATGCAACCTTGAAAGAAAAAAGTGCAATTAGGGGTAATTATTTTTGTTGGGTGCATGACATATTCATGGGTATAAATTCAATGTTCAAACATTTACAGCAAGTATTGGGGCAGCCTATTTGCAAACTCGCTAGCGAATTGGCTATCTCCTTGGGTTTTGACTGAACAGTTGGCTTTCAAATCTCGCTGGCTTCGACTTATCGCGTCCACTCTGGGCCAGTCTATATTGCATTAGGGGACATAAAATGCTTTTATGTAGCAGGATACATGTCTGTATTCCCTCGAATGATTTGCTTTGTCACGCCAGGCATGATAATGTTAAAGTAGTTTCCCTGGTCAGCCTGAGAATGGCCACAGTCAGCTGGCATACAAGTGATAATATGATAAATGTGATTAATCCACCGATATTTACTATATAGCCATCTTGAACACTGCTTGAAACTAAATCAGGTGACAAGTTGAGAAACAGTTTTCTACAAATCAGGGAGAAAATAACGATCTTTCACATCCAGACGATCCATTAGGTAACATTAAGTCAAGCTCTAAAAAAATTTGACCTCATTCTTCTTGACTCCAGTATGTGAAAACAGTAGTATTTTTCATTCAAAAAAAATGTTTAGAGAAAAAATTGTATCCCCATTTTCAATGTTAGGTATGCAATCGTAAATACGTGGAGATGCAGAAACACTGCTTTACAGCTAATGACATTCCAGAGCCTAAAAAATTGCCAGGTCTGCCCTTCTGAGGAATCTACAGACCAATAGACAAAACATTTGTGGATATTTTGGGGTAATATTTATAGCTGAGACAGTTTTTTTCGCTATTTCTGCTGACAAGTAAAATCTGCAAAAATAAATCTACGTGAACATGTAAAGTAACCACAGATTGTTTCCTCGAGAAATTCTTGAAATTAAGAGTGAAATTAAATAAATTTCGTACAATTACAAAGTATGTACAACATACCTAGAAAAAGTAGTTAAAAACATCGCGGTGTAATGTTCGTCTGTATTTTGAGCCCTTGATAGTAAATGGTCCAGCCCTTACATACGCCAACGATTGAAATTTATTTAGTTGCTATCAAATTATCGTTCAAAAAAAAATTCTTCATTTGTGAGATGTGCTTTTGATACAAACCGAAGATCACAATCGACCAGACACAAAACTACCTCCATTTTGTCTTTCTTGTCCTCGTTCGGCAAAAACAAAAAACAGCATATTTACTATTTTTTTTAATGAGTGCATATTTTGTTTAAAAATATCAAACGAGAATAAACATTGAGGAAATGAGGTTGAAAAAGCCATTCATTGGTCATGGATTGAACTTCAGGAGAGAAAATTATTGTAACTGCAAACTACATGGCTACAGACATACTGCCTCAAATTGTATGTACATAATGACATTTACAGAAATCCAATATTTGGAAGAGAATCACTGAACAAAATACAACTAACGGGTAAGACATCATTCAGTACATTTAGTAGTAATATAGTGAAGGGGCAGCCCTGAAGAATGTCGCAATGA